CACAACAGCCTGAGTGTGAGCCTAAGAGGTACGGTTCAGTCGGCATCAATTCTGAGTTTTTCTTCTCAGGTTCGATGTTCTCTCCTACCCAAATACCACATTGACCGATACACATGTCAAGGAAGTCTTCCCATGCTTCTGCTTCTAGATGCTTTACTTCCTTTGGCGAAAGTTCTTCACGTAGATTAGCCAGTGCCGTCACGGTGTCCATGTAGATTGGACCACGACCTTCTTTCATCTCTTTCATCATCAAGTGATTACGTAGACAAGAAGCGGGTACGGCTGCTTGGCCATACGGAGGATAGTCGTTGAGCATGTCTGCGTTGCGATCCATGTACACTTCACCAAAGGCATTGGTTGCTTTGGCTTTGAAGAGTAAGAACCATGCGCCTACGGGGCCGTATCCGTCTTTAAAACGTGTGGGTACGAAACGATTTTCCATGAGGGTTAACTCAGCGCCCGCTTCAGCGGCCATTGAGTAAGTCGAGCCAGCATTCCATACGGGATACCATGCACGGCCTTGACCTTCACCGACTGAACGTGGACGGAAGATGTTGACACAACCACCCGCGACCAATAAACAGCACTTGAATTTGTAAACAAAGACTTTGTCTTCACGTACGGAGAAACCCACCGCACCCGCTACTTGGTTAGGACGATTTTTGTCGTTGACCAATTTAACGATGAAAACACGCTCGGTGATGTTGTCCATACCCAGTGCTTTCTTAGCAGCTTCAGCGACGATCCACTTGTAGGATTCACCGTTGATCATGATCTGCCATTTTCCTGAACGGACTGGCTTGCCACCTTCAATGAGTAATCTAATTTGCCGCCCCTCTCTGCAGGCCAAGCGTGCGCCGTCAACACCGGGTCGCCGATCGTCCCTGGGTTTTCCAGGAATCGACCCCATTCTTCGAAAAGGTGTACACAGTCATCGACGTGACGACCTAGGTCGTAAGCCAAATCGTCACGGGTAATGCCCATGAGATCGTTTGACACCATGCGTGCATAATCTGCTGGATCGTTTTCGTCACCGATGTAGGTGTTGATCGCAGAAAGACCCTGTGCAACAGCACCTGAACGATCCATTGCTGCTTTGTCGACAAGACGAACTTTAATGTCGACGCCTTGTGCTTTTGCCTGATCCATCCAAGGACCTAATTCGTAGGCCGCACCACATGCGCCCATACCACCACCGATGATGAGAATATCTATTTCTTCTTCAACGACTTCTGGATTTCCAAATGTACCTGCCATCTGTTGATTCCTTTATTTTGTATCTGTTGTATAACGTGAAGGTAAGGCGCTGACCCTGTATTATCAGGCTCATGTGTTTCGTTGGCTTTACCTTTGTTTAAAAACCGAGGCGTTGATCCTTACTTACGGATCAATTCGCTTGGATTACCTGGCTTTTGAACACCACCGAGGTTGAAGAAACCTGGCTCGCCAATTTTCGCGATGTCCGCTGTTGCTTTACCTTCATAGGGCTGGATAGAGCCTTCTGGTGTGGTACGGATAGGGAACTTGAAACGCTTCATGTTGCCATTACGGAACTTGATGGTCCACATGATAGAGTCAGCACCACGAAGTGGCTGCACAGAACCACCGAGTGGAACGATGTCGGCATAGTGACGACACTCAATGGCGTTTTGAGGACAAATCTTAACGCAAGAGTAACACTCCCAGCACTGGTCTGGCTCTTGGTTAAACGCTTTCATAGCGTGTCCGGTTTCTGATCCATCGACATCTAGCTTCATTAAGTCATGTGGGCAGATGTACATGCAAGCGGTGCGGTCACCGCCTTTACAGCCGTCGCACTTTTCAGTACGTACAAAAGTAGGCATGGTTAAACTCCTAAGTTTTTACTTCGTTAATGATTAATATGATCTATGCCCCCGTCTTACCTGATGATAAGGCGGGTGTATAGGGATTACTTGGCCGAATGGCCACTCAGCTTGATCTCTACCTTATCTTCGTCTTTGATGCCAGCATAGTAGGCACGCAGGATCTTTAGGACTTCAGGGCGAGAGAACTTTTCCGAAACGTCTTCACCTTCGGAAAGTGCGTGACGTAACTTGGTGCCAGAGAGCAACATTCTGTCTTTGGCTTCGTGTGGGCAGGTCTTCATGGAGGCCATGCCATCACATTTATCACACCAAAACGTCCAGTCAATTTTTAATGGCAGTGTTTCAAGTGCGTCTTTGGGAATTTCATCGAAGATGTCGTGGGCATCAAACGGCCCGTAGTAGTCCCCTACGCCCGCGTGATCACGCCCGACGATTTGGTGAGAACAGCCGTAGTTCTGACGGAATAAAGCATGTATCAAAGCTTCGCGTGGACCGGCATAACGCATGTCCAGCGGATAACCGGCTTGTACCACGGTATCTTTGACAAAGTAATTGTCGATTAAAGTACCGATAGCATCAGAGCGTACATCCGCAGGAATGTCACCGGCTTTTAATGTTACCCCAGCAAGTGAATGAATTAATTACGCCTATCACCCGTCACCAATTTCAAGGGCCGATCTTGGCGAGGTACTTCGTTGAGAGCGATGCATCGGGTTACGGTGTTGGAACGCCGCTACCGACGCAGCCTTTTCTCTCGAAGTGGCACGGGTTCTGTCGGGGTCATGAACTGATCACACGTAGATTTCTTTGAAGTCGGCACCAGCGAGAGGAACTTCAACGGAGCCCCCCAACCCGCTATAGTTCACGCTCACCATTTGCGGCCAGCAACCATCTGTACGCCCGGATGTACTATCGTCAGTGGTTTTGTACCCACACTCGACAATTCGTGGGCTTTGTCGATGTCGGTATTGAGACGCAATGCTCATCGTCCCCATGATCTCCACGCACCATTGCTTCGCGCATGACTAAGGCGACGTGCATCCTCCCCGCCGATAAACCGTCTGCGGTAGCCGCATCGGTTGACAGAGTACATGGGGATAGGCCAGAACAGCCAACCCGTTTGCTAGCTGTCATCGGTATCGCAGACCAGCCTGGCCAGTCCGCTTGACTTCATACAAAGCCCTCTAACGGTGTAAAGGCACAGCCGATGCCCATCATAATGAGAATCGCCCGTTTCAACGTGAAGGATAAAGTGACTTTAGGAAGATGCTGCGGCACGCCGCTAACTCAGGCACCGTAAGCGCATCAACCTCTAGGCACCGAGCGCTATGAGATCACGCCACCATAGGTTAACAAGTTTTTGAAATAAAAAAACAGGGGGTACGTTTTTTCCTAGGACTTAACAGCATCACTGACGAGTGCCTTAAATAAAGCGTAAAATAAAGTACCGTTAGCACGGTTTGCAATAGAAAGCAGTACTTGGGTACTGTCTTTGGGGTGTAAATACTATTCAGAGCTGATTTATTAAGCCATGGTGAAAAGTTATCAAATGAGTATGATTATGGTAGGTGCACACCCAGTCTCTTTGGGGAGGCAACGCAAGTATTCCACAGTCGTTAACGGCATTTTAAGCATCTAAAATTTTATATGTAACAAATAGCAATTTATTTATTTAAGAATATAAGCAAATACTTCTTTGGGTGTTTTTAAACCACAAAACGGATTTTTTCAGAGGCTTGATCATGATATTGATTTAGCATATCAAGGAATGGTGGTTTTGCGTTAAGTTTAATTATCAGCTTGAAAATAACAGATCTGTTAAGCATTTTTCTAATCGACTTAGGCTTTCTCCAAATACCATCCGAGAGAAACGCATACCCAAGATAATATCGAGCTAGTTATAAGCCGTAGTTTATAGGCGCGATCATGTGAGTTATACCTTTCTGCTTAGTCCTGCAGGTCTAGTTGAAGGTGCCTAGCGAGAAGGGGAATATTCTACGCTGATACAAAACATCTTAGTGCTTACCTATCTATAGAGTTTTTAGTGTTTTCTTTTGAGGCAAAAGCGGAGAACATTATACGCGACTATGAATTAATAGAGGTAGATGAGTTTGACGAGCTGGAGTCGGTTAGTGAAACACAGACTGGAGAATCATCTCCAAACTCATTTCAAGGCCTCCGTAAGAATTTCAAGGTATGTACGTGGCGCTACATTCACACCCGTGTGAGCCTCATAATAATATAAACACAATAAGTGATGATTTGGCCTTATCAGATAATTAAACAAACCGCCCGTTGAGGCTCTTCATTCGCACGATCTTCAAAGCGGCTGTCCAATACTCAGGAACGTCTATCCTAAACTCTGCTAATCCCCACCATGCTCGATAACGTGCGCTTCTTCACGGCTGAAGCACCCGCGCCGGGGGATCGCGATCCACCATACATGCGGGACTTTGATGTCTCCAGCTACCCCATCTCACACCACAGATTCTAGCTATCTTGTTAGAACAGGAACACATTTATTAGAGTAGTTAACGGCACAGTCAGACACCAAAGCTTTCGATTAATGTCCTTCGCACAGCAGAACGGACAGAGCCGAGGACCAATATCCAGCGACAGCGGTTCGGGACAGGGTATTATAAATTCTAGACATGAATTTTGGAACGCGCAAAGGGTGAGGAAGATGCCGCGACTGATTTATGGAAATTAGCACCCGTAGACTCATCTTCGGGGTGACGTTGAGGTGCTCATCCACTGACCCTCCAGAAATAGCTGACTCCTATACAGGGCGAGCGGAGGTAAAAAATGATGGTCGAGGTTCGGGATCCATCTGAGAGGAATGTGAGCGGTAAAAAAACCGTTGACACTGTCGTTGGATCAATCCGGCTCTCGGCGGGCGGTGGGGCCGATCCGGGTATTAGTTTTCCCGGGGGCATCAAATTATGCGCGTAAATTGGTACCGACGTGAACAGTGGTGCAGCACTCTCTCTCAGAACACTCCGCGCGTGATGGGATACACGACAAAAACGGTCGTTTTGATTACACCACAGAAAGAAATGCGGCTGACTGTCTTCATGCTTGTTTGTCCATATCAAGGACCTTAAGGACTGGGTCGCTTAAAGAAACAGCATTTTACGAATACGCTATGTTACCGCGAGGTACACGCGCAAAACGAAGACTCCAAGACGTGGCCATATTACGAGGCGCCAAATCGGTTCGTTGATTTAAGGATAGCTCGTCACCGCCGACACCCTAACTCACAACCGTCCTGTGTCTGGCTCTACGGACAACAGGCAAGCTTGCGCTTATCGGCTTCAGAAAAAGAAACCCGTACGCACCCCTTAAAGCTAAGACTTTAAGATTGAAACACGCTTTCAGCGGCGGAGACAGGTTGCAAACCTTGCGCCACCGATATTCACCACTCCAGCAGTTTGATATAATTCCTGTGGCGGAACATATCTGGGTCAGTGCAACAGCCTTGGGGTAAAACGGGAAACCAAAGATCATTGTGCTATAGCATAGTTCTCAATTCTACATCATATTTTCAATGCATTAGTTGTTTCATCTGGCGGTTACGCCGAGCACCCTCTATCCCCCTATTTCTTACGCCTCTACCTGTCAGATACGGGCGCTTCGGGCTAGTTTTTGTCGTTTTGTTCAGCCCTCTGAAAAGGGCACAAACTGTCGCCGATCAGTGCTGATTTATTTGAAATTGGACAGGATTATAGGTCGCGGGTAAGGAGAGTTGAATTCAGTAGCTCAGGTACGACTAGTGCAATTATTATCCGGCTACCCAGCAGCGGGCTATCAGTCACTCGCCCAGTTGGCGGGGAGTAAGTGCCAGCAACTGAAATTACTGATTGACAAGTACACGGGGGATTCATCATATATTTCTGATATCAGACCGCATCTGGTGGCGGTAGAACACCAAACAACCGACGATACCAACTACACCGACAACACCACCCCGCTAGTTTCAGGGTGAAGCGCTATTTGCGGCTTGTCTGCTTCTGAAAGGGCAGTCGGCCGCCCGCTGAAAGCTGACTATTGTCACCATTCGAGGATATGACAGGAAAGCTGATTGATTCGGCTTCGGTGTACAACGAATCTCTTCAGCGATACCTGATGGCCAGTACCCTGGATTAAGGCAATACGTGGGAGTGTAAGATCCGCTGAGTGATACCCGTTAATTTTAATGAGTACGACCGGACTTCATCATACTATCTTTTTGATTTCGGCTTAGTCCTGAGAGTTAGGTCTTTATGCGTTGTAAACCCCCCACTCCGCCTTAATTTTAATCTATAAAGGGGGATGGTATACTTTAACCTCCGTAGTGTAATAAAGGGCTTTTCGATGGTGCTTGATACTTTTAGACGAGTAAGCTATTTAAGGGATGTTCCTGCTTCTACT